TCCGACCAAATCCCTTCTCCACAACTGCCACCTGCTTCGACCATTGGTCATCGTATTCATCTTTCATCCTTATCTCAACCAGTTAACATCTGTCCTGGTCATTCTCTACATTTTCATATGAATGCTCTTCATATTTCAAGCCCTTTTTCTATTCAATATTGCTTGTTCATAAATTGGATGGTACCTGACATTTTTGCATTCATTCTAGAATCCTTGAAATACTCAACATTCAAGATATATTTCCTATGCCAATAGTATATTAATTTTTAAATGAAATAGATAGATTTTTTTTCCAAACTTCATTTTCATTTTGCCTCTCAACAAGTTAGGATACATTCTAAAAAAAATATTCATCAAACTATTCATGATAGTCACTTTAAATTTCTCACATTCTTTTTGTCTTTGCCTTCTCTCAACCTTGAAAACAAGGTTATTTTCCATGATGATGGGAGTGTTAGACATCAGCATATTGGATCCAAAATTAGATGTCAAGCATGGGTATAAACATAGCGGGACAACCAACAACTATGAAGCCTACCAAAAAAGAAGGTACAAACACATTCCACAAGCATAAATGACAAATGGGTCCACACATGTAATAATGTATTTGTCTACTCTTTCTCTCAAGTTTGGTTAGATAGATCGGTTCCATATTGTAAACTTGGTCTACACAAGTAGATTCTTAATTTTTGACTTAGACAAATTTTAGACAAATGAAGTAAAATCTTTTAAGATTAAAGGCCAAGCAAAAGAACTTTTCTTTTTTTCTTTTCTCATTCTTACCAAGACATCCTGCCTTATGAAGCATCAAAACATCCATCATGTCATGCTATACACTGCATTGGACGCTACGACACTCTATGATGGCATATCAAAGATGTCATTTGATGTGTATGATATTTGTTTTTTTTTAATAATTTCTAACACTCCTTGGATGCCTCCTGGGGTTTTCCTAAAGACGTCTCACATTTATTGCATACCTCTAAACACATAGTGAATATGTATTAGCGTATATGATCATACTCAACTTATATCATGCATATCATAAAAATTATGATTTATTATATGTGATTCCAAAAAATTACAACATTATGAGTACGATGTTGTAAAAATATATTTACATAAGAAGAAAAATATTTTTTTCATCAACTAGATTTATACTAAAATTTTTTGTTAGCTAAATTTGTACTAAATACCGTTGAACACGTGTCATGCCCTATTGATGACCACATTATCAAAAGCTATGATTAGTACCAAATCTCAAGATGAATTGCAGCAGTTAACCCCAGATATCTGAAAGCCAGCTCAATAACAAAAAATAGGCTAAAAACAAAAATAAAATAAATTTCTAGGAAAAACGAGTATAGATATGTTCACCAATCAACTAAAAACATAAGTAGCTTAGCCAGTAACTTCAACAATGTCTTAACACCAAAATAAACTTGTTTATAAAAAATCAAACTCTCAGTGTAAGAACCAGAAAAATTCTGAAAGAAAGAAAGAAAAAAAAACTAAATTTCTTTTTGAACTGGAGCATTGCGGCATTGAGCTTGTAAATGCTGCGGCACTGCGCCTGTGAGTGCAGCGGGGTCAGAAGTTGCCGCCGCAACATTGAAGGTTCTATTCTACAATAATTCTATATTCAACATGCAGCACTGCAGCGTTAGGTGGTGACGCTGCGATGCTACGATTTTTTTTTCTCACTACTCGCCTCTCTCGCTCCACTAGCACCGGCTTTGTAGTGGAAGGAAGTAGGAACAAGAAAAAGGGAGAGGAAAAAAAGAGAGAGCAAGGGAAAATCCGTATTCTGGTCACCGATTCATTTAGCCATTTTTGTAAAAATTTCTCAAATTGCGGTAGGCGACTTTTATCCTATTCCAGTTTTTAAAGATTTTAATTTCAACCGTTCAATTTGTTCCAAATTGATTTTATTACATTTTCTACGGATTTAGTGAACTTCCACCGTATATTTTTTTGTAAGTCGTAATACTAATTATTATGGACATTTTGACAGGTTGATTGTATAATTTCACCAAGTACAATGGAAAATATTATATTTTGTATGATTTGCACATAATAGTAATTTTAGTATTTTAATATAAAATTATTAATACATGCATAGTGGATGAATATGGACATGTGATTGTATAATAGCTAATTGTTATTATTTTTGTAATAATATATGTGAAGATAAATAAATATTGGTTATTTACTAACGTTGGTTGGAGACTGTATAACCTGTAGGTCCTGTACAGCACAATGGATCATCCAGCTTCTCATTAAATATTGTTATTTGGTGTTATCCTCTATTAATTCATATAATTCACACATTGAGAGTTATAAGTAGTTAATTACTGTACCGATAGGTAAAAAGTGACAACTCTGTTTATTGAGACAATGATTATTGACTTACTAACTATTGAAAAAACACCATGTAAGTCAAAACTCCTTATTCGTTTAGTGTGATTACTAGAATGCATGTTACTGCACTGCTTCAATTATGTTGTTCTACTTATTATTGTTATTATCATTAATTCATTGTTTATTGTTTCACTGTCACTAGCACGTGATTTCTATTACTGAGCATGTGATATTGAATACTAAATTACTAATTTCATACTGATATACAATAGTTAAACAACATGTGTATACAGATTTGATAGTATTGCATTATTATATATTCTTACAGTCTTCATAGATACTTCAATTTTACCGACCTACATGATTTCTTTATTGATCGGATAGCACTATCATGACGTATAATTTAAAAATGATTGTTTATACTTTATTATTTCAACATCCGCACCGGTTTATAGATTTTACTCTTTTGTGCAACACTATTTTACTAGCCTCCATACCATACGGATTTATTATTTTACAGGTCTTACAATTACTGCATGTGTTTTACTCTTTATGTACGGATTCGTGATCATATTGATTGCTACTATTATAAATTAACTGACGACATACATATTGTTTTTTTACCGTGCTTTGAGTTCAGTTATAAGATTTATTGACCAATTGAGCCTTTTAGCTTATATATCTAGTTTAAATAATTTCAGGTCAAGGAAGATGATCGAAAGTGTGAGACTGATTAGTTACAGGAATCCTCAGGTTTTATTGTAGTTTGTTTCTTTTTTTCTTTATATATTCTTTTGTACTCATAAGTAAAAGGGGTGTTACATTTTTATGATTCTTGGATACAACAACAACATCATCAAGCCTTTGTCCCACTACGTGGGGTCGGCAACATGAATCCTTTTTCGCCATTGTGTCATGTTAAAAGTCAAATTCTCATTTAAATCATTTATACATGAATCCTTTTTCGCTATTGTGTCCTATTATTTTATGATTCTTGGATATTGTATATAATTTTTGGAGATTTAATACACACACACACACACACACACACACACACACACACACACACACACACACACACACACACACACACACACACACACACACACACACACACACACACACACACACACACACACACACACACACACACACACACACACACACACACACACACACACACACACACACACACACACACACACACACACACACACACACACACACACACACACACACACACACACACACACACACACACACACACAAAAAAGTGACAACTCTGTTTATTGAGACAATGATTATTGACTTACTAACTATTGAAAAAACACCACGTAAGTCAAAACTCCTTATTTGTTTAGTGTGATTACTAGAATGCATGTTACTGCACTGCTTCCATTATGTTGTTCTACTTATTATTGTTATTATCATTAATTCATTGTTTATTGTTTCACTGTCATTAGCACGTGATTTCTATTATTGAGCATGTGATATTGAATACTAAATTACTAATTTCATACTGATATACAATAGTTAAACAACATGTGTATACGGATTTGATAGTACTGTACTATTATATATTCCGACAGTCTTCATAGATACTTCAATTTTACCGACCTACATGATTTCTTTATTGATCGGATAGCACTATCATGACGTATAATTTAAAAATGATTGTTTATACTTTATTATTTCAACATCTACTATTTTACTAGCTTACATTGTTTATACTTTATTATTTCAACATCCGCACCGGTTATAGATTTTACTCTTTTGTGCAACACTATTTTACTAGCTTCCATACCATACGGATTTATTATTTTACAGGTCTTATTCACACACACACTCACACACACACACAAATCATTTATACTTTATTATTTCAACATCTACTATTTTACTAGCTTCCATTGTTTATACTTTATTATTTCAACATCCGCACCGGTTTATAGATTTAACTCTTTTGTGCAACACTATTTTACTAGCTTCCATACCATACGGATTTATTATTTTACAGGTCTTATTCACACACACACACACATATATATATATTTATATAGATAGCTCTAGTTATTATTATTATAAAAGATAAAATAAATAATTCTTCCGAATTAGATTTTGGGGTGTGACACAAAGCATTGTGCCTTCAACAACATCATCATCAAGCATTATCCCACTACGTGGAGTCGGCTGCATGAATCATTTTTACCCATTATCATGTTAAGAGTCAAATTCTCATTTCGATCTAATAAAAAATATCATTTCTATTATTTTCCAACCAAGTCTTTTTAGATCTAATTTTATCTTTTTTTAACATGGGCCAAATTTAATGCATCTACTCTCCTAACCGGGTCATCAGAAGGCCGAAGTTTTATGTGTCAGGGTTGTGCCTTCAAAGAAATTAACTTTCAGGACAACATTTTATACTTTTAATAGAAAATATGTAGAAATTACTACTACATGAAATACGTAATATACTAATAAATAGTAATGCCAGTTGATCTGCAAAACTGAAGGCCTTCAAATGCAAATTGGATCCCTTATGTGCGTGTATGCAAGGGAAAAGTGAGCAAGAAATCATGCTCAAACGAAGTCACAGCATTAAAAGGGAGGAGTGAGATAAAACAGAAACATCTCACCTTGCGCTGAAGCCTCATTATAGTAGATATCAAAAGTTTATCACCAATGATGTGCCTCAACCTCTTAACCAGATCGAGCCTAGATATTTGTCTCTTCTGATAAAATGAAAAATAGGAAGATAATCAAATGAGCTTAACTTTCGAAAGGTACAAGCATAAACAAAAAAGATAGATGTCTTAAAAAGAACCTTGAATTCTTCATAATGTTTATTAACAAGATCCATATCTTGAGAAGAAACTTTGGTTGAAATTGCAGCGAACAACATAGAAAAGGGCATCCATGGCGATGTTGGTTTTGGATCTCTACCAAAAGAATCAGATATACCATGTACATTGTTGGCTGATCTAAGTGTCGGGTTATCATTCCCTACCTGAATGTTTAAACAAGAACATCATAGGCCATCATTCTTTAATTTTATCAAAAACTAAATTCTAGCTTGACATATTAAATTAAAACGTCAAAAATAGATGAAACCAAAACAAATAAATTACCAACACATGGACCAGCGAAATGACCAAACCTAAACTTTAAAACTACTAAACATATAATATACCAACTATAAACCCAAGCAACCAATTCAAATTACAAACCAAAGAACTTTAAATTTTGAATTGGATCACATTTCGTGAATAACAAAAACTAAATAAGAAAATCAATTGTAATATTTAAAAAAAAAACATTTACAAAAAATCAGTTATAGTATAGGTAATCTAAGTAATCATTGTATATTTTAAAAAAAACTATTTCCTGAAAAAAAAATAAAAAAGAAAGTTAAAAGGAGCACCTTAATCGGTGGAACAGGAGAAGTACCATCAGTAATTGTGGAATTAATTGTCCTTTCTTTTCCAAAAATAAACTCTGAATCCAAGATAAGCGTCAACAGTTCCATAGCCAACTTGCCAAAACCTTACAAATACTAAAATAGAAATGTCAAATGACCAAATAAGAACTACCTCTAGCTTCAGAAGGTAACTTGAAAGTCACAACATATTCTAGGTAGATGTGAGTATGCATATTCTTATCCCATACGACATAATGCTTTGGTGCTGTAAGATCATCCACGCCACTATCAAAATTCTCACTACTGGGCTGAAATTGTGTGGACCCAGGATGAACAACTTCCACATTGCCCATAATGATGCGGCATAGCATCATATAAGACAATCCATTTTCGTCAACATCTGAATAGCTAGCACTGAATGAAGATATTATAAGCTTACATGCATAAAAACAAAGTACATATAGCATATTTTCACTCCCTGGGCATGGATTGAAGGTTTTGACAACCCACAATGAACAATTCCTATTATGACCAATAGAAAAAAAACCTCACCAGACATTGGAGCAGTTTACTGGAGCAAGATGAATGCCCAGTCCATATGTAGTACCACGAACTGGCTTTTCAAATCTCCTTGCCCCTCGCAACAAGATGTCTTCCACAGCAGACTTGCTGGCAGGCAACCATGCATACCGTACATTAGCACTACCACCGCGAAGACTCTTTACGATCTCAACCTGCTTCTGGAAAGTTTGCAAACAAACTTCTCCAAATGTATTATCAGTAGGTGTCCTTGAGATGCTAACTACATCATTGGCCTTAACATGTGGGTAGATTCCACACAGAAAAAGACTCTGGATGGAACCCAAGATATCTGAAATATAATCTGCTCCAGTTTTTTTCGCCTGCACGGACCCTGAATATGATACATTTGCTGAATACAAAGAGCACGGTTCATTCTCTCCTATTACACTAACAGGATCAACATCCTTGACCTTTTCATCGTCATGAGGGCGTCCTATATTTGAACTTTCAGAAGCACTTGAAAAGACCACACCGTGATCCATTTCTCCTGATCCATCTAGCATACTAGAAACATAAACATTTCTCCCCTCGAAGAATCCACGTGCAACACAAGATTCCTGATAAATTTCTGGAAAGAAACATTTGCCATGCTCATCAATCCAAGCAATAGGCTTGCTAAGACCTGTTTTTGTATCTATATGAAGCATATGGACAAAATCCAACAAAATCTGTTGGTTTATATGTGTAATCTCAATTATAGCCTTCTTTGCTTGGAAATCTTCACGCAACAGGTGAGTGATCTCAGCAGTGAAATCCTTCCATTCACCGTCATGGTAAAACAACAACCGCTGGGGCAAGCCACTCTTCATGAAGTTACGATAATTTCTGACAGTAAGATTGTTGGGATGTAGGAACTTCTGAGCATCACAATTACAAGCTTTAACCATATTGCGACATGATAAAGGCAGCTGGGCAACTCCAGATTGAACAGCCAACCTACTGCCAACACAAGTAAAATGTGGGGAAGAGGGCAGTCTCTTCCTCTCAAAATTGTTAAGTCCAGAATTATGCAGCACCTTCGCATTTTTTCCTTCCATTTCCATTAACAAAAAAGCTAAATACTATATACCCAGTAAGCTTGCCTACAGTTATTTACAAATACGTCAAGAATATCCATAAGAACTCATGTTCACCATTATCTTCTCAGCTACCCTGAACAGCAAAATAATGGACAAAACAAACTAAGCAGAAAAACAATATCATCGCATTGGATTGTTAACGTAACAGATAGTAGAACGAAGCACTTTAGAAAGATGGAATGGATAAAATCCAAGTCAATGAAACAAAACCCATCAAATAGCACCTTATAATTAATATAAAGTTTAAATAAGTTACGCATGAGAACACACCAGACAGCAAAAGCGCCAAAGTTGAAATAGAAATTAAAAAAAGAGAAAAGGACCAAAATGGTCCCTCAACTCTTTGTAAGAGACCAAAATAATCCTCAACTCTTTTGAGGAACCATTTTGATCTCTCAACTCGTTTAAAGGGACATTTTTTATCTTAACATACAATGTTGGAGTTAATGGTGTTAAATGTAATAATATTTTTGAATTTTTTTAATTAAATATAATTTTCAAGCAATTATCATTTTTCCTAAAAAATTTTATTAAACGTTTCATCAATAAAATAACAATAATAATAATAATAATTTTAGTTTTAATTTCTAAAAATTTAGTCATTTTTTATAAAATAACTTACCAGACATTTGTAAGAGAATGTACCGTGGTGTCTGCTTTTTATTGATAATATTCTTCTTATTGATAAGACTAGTGAGGGAATTGAAGGAAAATTTGAGTTATGAAGCTAAACCTTAGAGTTTAAAGGTTTTCGTTTGAGTAAATCAAAAAACCAAATATGTGTAGTGTAATTTGGAAGTAATAGATTTAGTGAGGGAATTGTGCCTTTGGGTGATCAAATCATTAAAAAGAGTACACATTTTAGATATTTTGGGTTTATTATTCAAAATGGTGGTGTAATAGATGGTAATATTATTAGTAGAATTCAAGTTGGATGGTTAAAGTGGAGGAATGTAATGGGATGTTGTGTGATAGAAAAATACCTCTCAAACTTACGGGAAAGTTCTATAAGATGGTGGTCAGGCTTGTAATGCTTTATGATGCAAAATGTTGTCCATTAAAATAGAAGCAAAAAATTAAGTTGTGTTGCAGAGATGAGGATGCTCGGATGGATGAGCGGATTTACTCTTAGAGACATAATGCGAAAAGAGTATATACGTGAAAAGGTTGGAGTAGCTCCAGTAGCTAAATAAGATTAGAAAGAGTCGTCTTATATGGTTTGATCATATAAAATGTCGGCCTTCCAATGACCTAGTTAGGAGAGTAGATGTATTAGATCTAGCCTACGTTAAAAAAGTTAGCTAGACCTAAAAAAACTTGGTTAGAAAGTATTAAAAATGACTTTTTTTATTAATCTAAATGAGAATTTGACTCTTAATAGGATGCAATGGAAAAGGATTCATGTAATCGACCCCACATAGTTGGATAAAAGTTTGATGTTGTTTTTATTGTTGTTGTAGATAATAACACTGTCTTTTCTAACATATGAATACATTAAAAAGACGATCAAGCTTATCCAGATGTTGTTTGTATATTTAAATATATAACACAACTACAAAAAAATTGACGAAGTTTTGAGAAAAAATTATTTGAGGAAAAAATTCAATAAAATATTTCAAGAGACTTCCAAAATCAATCACTCTTAAGGCTGTTTTATTAATTAGATATGTTGAGGTTAGGACAACTTCTCCCAAATATTCTTTGTGAACTTGATTTTGAAAGAGGAGTAAATATTGACTTCTACAAAGTGCCACTTTTTTCTTTCTTCCATCCTATTGTGTTGTGGGTTGTAAGGTTAATAGGATTGCTGAATATGTTCATTTTCAAGTAAAAAAAATATAAATTCGGATTAAAATAAACTCATGAATTACCAATCTAGATTATTTTAATACTCACACTAAATTCATTTTCCATCATAACAATAAAAATTAGAAGAATATGATTAATATTAGACCTTTATTTGATAAGATATACTAATGTCTTTCAAGTGTGATCAATGAATGTGTAAAATCCTTTAGCTTCAATAATAGTAATGATTTTATAATGTTTCTAATTATCGGAATGAATTATCATGAAAGGAGTAGAAGACCTAATTTTGCTTTCAAGAAAGAAAACTCTATAATGTTTGGCAAAAAATAAATTTCTATAATGTTAGGCAATTTCAAACTCTCACTATGAAAACTTTCTAAGGCTGGCTCAGAGGCATAATGTGCCATTGATTCAATGATTCAAGACAAAATCCCAAATTCATTTCAAAGAAGAAAGCATCTTGGAGCATAAGAATGGATATAATTTGGAGCGCCTGGGCACTCCTTAAGAATGCAATTCATATCGAACATTTGAGTTGAGGCAGCTCTCAAAAGTTATTATTGAGGCTAACATCCATGTAGTAGAGGGTATTTTGACATATTTATGAGATGCCTCAAGTTACAAAGCATGAGTTTTCCTAGGCTCCATGTTGGAATGTAACTGATTCAAAGGAAGGAAGACTTTCTTTGTTTTGCCCATTCTAGTGAGTAATTGGTTCGCACAAAAAAGGCGAGTTCTGATTTTAGCAAAAGATGGGGACTACAACCTAAGAGAAGGCCCACAAATAAATCAAGGTGTTTTGGCAGGACTTATAAGTGTTTGTCATGGCCTAAAAATTAATTTGAGCCTGCAAATGGGTTTGCATATTTGAATTTGATAGAGATGACCCAAGATTTTTAGTTTGTTTATTCAATACAGGCGAACCAAAAATGTTTTGGTCAGGGTATTATATCAAAATAACTTAAAAAATAAAAATTTACGAAACAAAACCAAAAAAAGCACACAATTTGTATTTCTAATGAATAAGAACTTTCAGATTTACATCATTATGCTATGCTTGAAAATTTTTGGCTCCAAAGAATTAACTATTTGGTATTTGTCATGTAAATCTAAGTAAATATGTTGTGCTTCCTGCAAGGCAATCCAGAATTGAAATAAGTAAAATCTAAAGGCACTATGAATCTCTAAAATCCATCATCAATAGTGGACGCAATCTTTGTATAAAAGATGGCTTTAAGGACAATTGATCAAATACCTCTAGTAAGGTGGCGATAAAAAGCATAGTTTCGAAAACCCGACCGGACTGGCCGGTTCTACCAGCTCAACTGTGAATCGTCCTTATGGCCGGTTTGGTCCTCATGAAAAACCGGTAAAGCATCAAACCAGTGAGAACCGGTTTGAACTGTCGGTTCAACATGCCAACTATTGAAACGGTCCAGGTTTTTAAAAAGCAATCAGTTCAATTCATAATTTATTTAAATAATTTAATTTAAAGTTTTATTAAATAATAAATTAATTTAAATATAACACATTTATTTAATAATATCCAAAAATTGTAAATGATCATATATCAAGAACTAACAAATCATACTCACATAGTTCCACCACCTGCGAACTCTTAACCCATGAATACAAGAAAAGTTATATAAACAACACAATGCAAACCTCCCATGTGATGTGGGACTAAATAACTAGTTAAAATTTCTACAATGTGTGCATGGTGGATTGCTTCCATAAGCATTTTTTGAAAAAAAAACTGTACAAAATATTCAAATAAAAAATAATTATAATATTTTTTAAGTTCTTAAATTTATAATTATTTTTGTATTAAATAAATCTTAAACATATTATTTTAAAAATAGTCATAACGACGACATACTTAAACATATTATTTTAAAAATAGTCATAACGACGACATAAATTAATCAAAATATCAAAATAAAAATGTATGCATTTAATACCCTGATCAAACCATTGAACCTTGAACCTTTCACTTTTCAAGTTCTATCTCTAGTCTAATTTTTACCACCTTGATAAAAAAGTAAATAATCCATGATATTGTTAGTACAATCACAAAATAAAATCAAAATAAATGCATTTATGTATAAAGTAATGACAAAACTTTCAAATATTTCAATTTTAGAGGTAATGGTCCAAATGTGTTATATGATTTTACATAGTTCTATCTTTCTCACATCTTTCTCACAGTTAACTTCTTAAAGGTCATCATAGAAAGTATTTCTAAATATAGAAGTACAATTACTTCATCTCTTGGTTTGAATTTTACGTCTCTCTTGTTCACATCAACAATAGACATATAATTACCATAATTAGCAATTAATTTTCAATGAATTTTTTTCATGCAAAACACAGAAATAATATGAAATAACTAATAAATATACTAAAATGTCAAGAAGCATCCTGCAAGATACTAAGAATATACTAATAATGATTTATAATCCATTCCTAAATGATGAGATAAGAAAATTAAAAATATACAATCCACATAAATATGGTATGTCTACATAAATTAACCTCTTTAAGAAGGTTATTCCAAGTAGCTGAAATATTATTAAAATTATTGTTGCTCCTTTAAAGCTGTCCAGATGAATGAAAAAGTTGAATATCTTATTTACATTAGGGGCATCACTATTTGCAACTTCTTAGAAATGTTGACATAACCAAACTTTCTCCATAAGATTCTCTTTATGAGTTTAGGAATAAAAAATCATTTTAAAAAATAATTTCAATTTGATTAGTATAAATAACTTCACTAGAATTTTTATCAGGAGTTTGATAAAGTTGTTCAATTATTTCTCATCATTAGTAGGCAAAAGTTCACATTCATTCAAAATACCCTTTATCAATTTGCTTAGTTGATTTAACTGGCATGATTTGCTCACTCCAAATTCAGGAATAGATAGAATATCTTTTAAAAGCTCGGGTTCACATTCAAGAGATTCTATGAAAAGTTCAGGTTCACATTTAGAATTAAATTTATATTTAAATAGCAACCCAAGTTTAAATATGATTCAATTTCAATTCCAAGTTTAGTTCTTAAACAGGGCTTAGATTAAGAATTGATATCAAGTTCAAACTGAATTAGAAAGTCATATTACAAATCTTACTCAAGTATAACTTCATGTTCATGAATAGTATCTAATGTAGGTGCATGTTTACATTCAACAAAATTGCATGTAGGTTTGCATTATAACAACAAATCTCCTCGCCCAAAACATCTATGATGTCTCTTGGTGTAGTATTAGTCAAGCCCATTGCAAATCCTTCTGAACATGCCTTCCAATGCATACTTATGACAAAATTTTGTTTACCAACTTGTTGTGGCCTATCAGCCACTGCATTTGCTTCCTTCATTTATGTCATACTCAATCGAGACCAAGGGTACCTCCATCAAAACATCAGTCTCACCAACACTGAGCTCTCCACCTTTCTCATCAAGTTAAGCATCCAAAACAACCCCAATTAATTCTCATGCCCTTCCATTATAGCCATTACTCATGCTACGAGTTTCACCTGTGTTGCTCGTTCACGCAACTTGTGTCAAACATTGCACAAAAAGAACATCAAGGGTTGGTGATCACCCTTGCCATCCCCACCATATGAGCTCATCTTGCCCTCATCTCTTGGATTCAAAAACTTCTCATCATGGCAATCGAGAGGAAGCTGCTTTCTCATGCCAATGAGGCTAGGCGCGCCTCAAACAAACTGAGGTGCACGCCTCACAAATAAGCTCGAGGTGTATGCCTCGAGGCGTTTTTCACAAAATTGCACTGAGGCGAGCCCTTCGGGCACCTCAAATTGCGCGGTTTTAAACAATAGATGTAGAATCATTAAGTAAACAAGAACAGGTAGAACATCAAACAACTGGTATACCTTACAAACTAAATGAGAAAAAAGTCATAACAAGAACACCATAGTTGCAAGAAACATTGGAAAGCAACAATATGGATAAAATAAGTTCAACATATCAAGTATGAAAAGTAAACCAGTATCACCTCAAAATCATCAGAATCAAATACACCAAATGAAGCACTACAAAGATCATGAAACACAAGCCTACATTTTTGAGAATGACAACTACATCATAAACATCGACAGCGGTGTTTCTGCTTAATGCCAATTATCAGCAGCACAATCGCTTCTATAATACGGGCAAAAAAGAACAATGGGGGCAAAAGAAAATGATGATGCGAATGGAAAATAGATACATTTCAAAAAAAGACACCTACTTACTCCAGTTTGCAATCATAAGCCCTAACCTTCGAGGCAAAATTATATTTCCGACCCAACAAAGAAATTTCACATTCCAGCCTTCCAATACGCGCAACTTGCCACAATTCTAACAACCCCAGGTAAAGTATCGGCCAACAAAACAACTCATGCAACAGCCTCCAATATAATACTGTAAAAATGCTCCAACAGAACAACAAGAAAAACAAATGCATACCTATAATCCACGTTTTCAACACTCTAAGCCGCCCATGCAGCACTCTCGCCCACATGCACCAAAAAAATCCATATAGGATAAACCCACTGCTCGGTTACCCCACTCCACGCCACTCGAACTATTAACCACTGCAGCGAAGGAACACCTTAAACCTCACGGGGCTCACAATGACCAAAATCATGCCCCTCAATCGACGGATTCGTCAACAAATATAAACAGCTCTAGTCAATCAACCAAAAGGCTACCGATCTAACCAAGACTTACCGGAAAATACAGCGCCCCTACTCCTCTGTCAAAGAAATATAGACGAAATACATAGACGGAAACATAAAAATAATCTGAGCTACGAAAAGGGATGCGATCGAAAGGGAGGAGCTCAGCGGAGGCTATTATACCTCAAGCCGCTCGAGGCTGGATGCTTCAAACCTGCGAGTGAGTGGCCTCCTCCCTCATCTCAGTGGACATCTCAGTGACGGTCTCAGACGAAATCCCAAATCCTCGATCGCAAGAGTGTGGCGGAGATCGTCGGCAGTGCAGCAACCGGGCACAAATGCTGTGGGCCCAAGAAAAGGACACCAACTTCATCATCTGACGGCAAATACGCTTCCGGGTCAAATGGAGGAGGTGATCATACCGTTCATCTTCGGTGATATTTTCATGTGGGGTCATGTCTATTACGGGGAGCAGGGGGTGCACGAACGTTTAACCGACACGTGGAGGTTTCGTCGTTGAAGTGAAGGGGAACAGCGAAAGTTGGGACGATTATTTTTTACCACATTTAAGTCAATTAAACAAATACATAATAGATAATAATTAAAGCTCTCAATTAATAAATTAAAATAATATGAAAAAAAAATTATATAATATGATAGTAACAACATCATCAAATACAAAGCTGACTTTAGTCTATTTGTTGGAAGTTTTAACTATCAATTATGAGTTTTGATTTTGAGTCTTATATATGTATTTTATGTGAGTTTTACTTAATTGACTTAAATGACCCACAAAAAAAAATAACATCGTCAACTTAGATCTACTATATTAATTATTTTCTCCATTATATTCTCATAAAAGTCAAATTATCACTAATTGAGCATAATCATCTTTGTAACACTTAACTTAAGTTTATGCTTCTCTTTTAATGATCAATATTTTATGTCATAAAGTAGTACATGTCTTGCAACCATCTTATACAATTTTCTCTTAAGTTTGAAGGATACTTTTCAATCACACTATGGATCTCATGCATTTTCCACCTCAACCATCCAATTGGAATTCTACTAATAATATCCCCATCTATTTTACCATTACTTTGTATAATATATATGAAATATCTAAAATATGTACTACAAAGTCATAATCTTCCGACTATATCTATTATTATTAAAATTATATTCAATATATTGGATTTAGATATACTTAAATGAAAGCCTTTAAACTCTAAAATTGGACTTAATAATTCAAGTTATTTTGTTAAATAAAAAAATATATTATATGAAGTAAGAGGGTGTCTGATCTTTGTATAGAGTTCCACTACATAAATACATAAAAGAAGAGTGCAAGGGATACTTTATGTGAAAAACTTGTAAAGAAAAAATAAGTCACGTGTCGATCTTAGTTTAGTTGAAATGGGTCTACTGGTATATATCATATATAAAAATAATGTCCTTCTCCATAATTGAGGAAAGCATTAATGGAATGCAGTAGATATGAACTGCTAAGAATGAAATTTATGGTGGAAGTTAGAGGAGCCTCAAGGCATTGGAGTTATCTTTATGAGTCAATTTATGATTGGTTTTTTTTTTAGGAGAGCAAGTTAGAAACGAAGAAGTCAAGTACCAATATTTTGGATTGATATTATGAATTGAAGTTATTGTCTACTATGTGCATATACGTTATTGGTGATGATATAAACATACATATACATATAGGTGGGGGACATCAATGTATGTATTAATGATATGCATAGGTCATGTAGGTGTTGTCACGCATCTATGATATATGTGGCAAACTCAATTAACGTGGGCATGTGTCTACAATATTAACTTTATAAGTGATAGTGTATAATAAATAGTAACAACATCATCAAGTACAAAGCTGACTTTAGTCTGGTGGTTGGACGTTTTAACTATCAATTATGAGTTTTGATTTTGAGTCTTATATATGTATTGTATGTGAGTTTTATTTACGGGTCTATTGGTATATATCATATATATAAATAATATCGTTCTCCATAATTGAGGAAAGCATTAATGGAATGCAGTAGATATGAACTGCTAAGAATGAATTTGTGACTGATATATTTGATGACAATACACAATAGAGGTGGGGGACATCAATGTATGTATTAATGATATGCATAGGTCATGTAGGTGTTGTCACGCATCTATGATATATGTGGCAAACTCAATTAACATGAGCATGTGTCTACAATATGCATTAACTTTATAAGTGATAGTGCATGCCAACATTGATAATATTAGTGATTGATAATGTTGAGGGGCATTGATGTTTATGCGAAAGAGTCCATATGTCATATAAGTGATGGCGCACATCATTGCTACTGGTAATGTGAGTGACAAAGTCAATAAGCATTGACTATAATGAAGGAATGCATTGACTTTATAGTAGACTTCCTACACCAGCATTATTAATGACAAAGTTAGCTTGATATGGTTGTTAGACGACTATTGTCTCATGGAAGTAGTTAGAAGACAATGACAAGGAGATCATAGTAGGGTGCTAGCGGGCAATCGAGATATGGCAATCATATGATGATGATAAAGTGATGATAGTCATACAATGATGGATAAAGAACAATGACCGTTTTGACGATGATCATCATAGTCAAATGTAGGGTGAAACTTTATAGTTTGTCATAACTAAAATATATTTTAATGTTAAAGATGATCTCCTGAGCTCTCCTTCATTTGTAAAAAAATATGTTTATTTCTAACTTTATATAGTGACATTTTAGTAAATTTTTAGAATAAAAAACATTTAATTAGATGGTCTATATCAATTATTTTGATGATTAAAAATTATTTTAGTGTTTAAGTGCCTTAGTAACTTTATAATTGAATGTTTTTAAGCTCTTTGAATTTCCTTTACATAAACAGTCATTGAAACTAAAAGTACACACATTTTGGAGATTGTTTAGTCAGTTAACTATTGTCTCAAAGTTTTCAATTGTCCTTCATGTGTTTAATTTGGGCTTCGTTGTATTCAGATCAAGATACATATGGTATCATTGGATTTGTATGGTTCAAAAACCCATATCAACTATAAATTTGTTAAAATTGAAGTTTTAGTGATCATCAATTTGATCATGAAAATTTTTAATTAAAAATTTCTATCGGGATTAGTGCTTGATTGGTTGAATTTCCTGACGACCTATCATAAATCTATACATATAATATGATAGTTGACATGCCATCAAATATTCACCTTGATCGGGCACAAATCTCGATGTAAATATGAGATTGAGGCTTCAAAAATGGAAATGGGGACCATCTTATCACCAATTTCAACAAGTTTATAGTCAAATTGAACTTCTCAAGGAGATGAACCGAACAACGTCAAATTTGATCCAATATGAGCCCAAATCAAAGGTTTGACTTATATTCGGAAGCTTCAGAGCATTAACTGGACTATCAAATGATATATAAACATGTCATGCTTACAGTTAGATCAAGCAGCTTGATGAGACAAATACAACGAGCCCGAGATCCCTCAATTTTGACAGCTCTACAATATATAAATGCTCGATAAACTTTCCATGATCAAGGGGATCAATATGAGTAGTTTGATAGAACACTCCCAATATGTCATTGATCATCTCTATATTTACTAGTCATTCCACTACAAAAATAAAATAAAATAAATAAATAACTCATCATTCTTCACATGAAGGGGAGGAGAAAAAAGGTGGAATAAAGGAATAGAAGAAGGAGAAACTTGGAGAGTTTTTTTGCCGCCGATGACCGCCAGATCTTTTATCTACCACCGACCATCACTAGACTTCCTCCCAATGGTCGACCACCATCATATATTTTCTTGACCGTCGTTGGATTTTCGCCCATTATTCTGCCACCGCTAGATCTTTTTCCGACCACTATCCGTCCTCAGACTTACTCCCTACCATCGACCGTCGCGGATCTCTTTATGACTATTGATGGACTTTCGCCCATTCGTCAAGCGCTATTGGATCTCTTTTCGATCAATGATTGTCATTGGACTTATGCCCATTCGTTAGCTGATGTTGAATCTCTTCCCGACAATTGACCGCCGTTGGACCTCCGTTTATTCTCTTAATATTACTGGAACTCTTCCTAGATGCTATTAACGTTGGATCTCCTTCCAAATACCCAACTACAGTCTCTACAACCACCATCGATCGACCGCGGTCTCTCCGACCACCTTTGCCTAACTACGTTCTCTCCGAGCACCGTTGCCCAACTACGGTCATTCCAACATCCGCCCAACTACAGTATTTCCATCCTTAGTAGCCCACTGACTACGGTCTCTTTGGTCACCAACTCCAGACTACGATCTCCCTATCCTTCATCGCTCGACTACGATCCTTCCGACCTACATTGCTCGCCATCTATATATGGTCTTACCGACCAAACAAATATGTCAACACTGATTCTTTCAACTCCCATTCTGTAATGCACTCAATCTGATAATATATTTGCTACATCAAGCCAAGACTTTTCCCCCAAGGAAGGGTCTCATTTGTAATAAACTGCAAACACTATTGAATTATTCAAACTGGGCAGGGGCCCGTGGTTTTTCTCCCTTTTTAGGGGTTTCCATGTAAAAAATATGGTGTCTCTTATAAACATTGCATCCCTACTCATTTATATGTCTGTGTTTGAATATCATACAAAACTAATATGTTAAACTTTATATCTCTCTACCGCGGCGAATATTTTAGGACGCAACAATAGCCATAATATATTATTATTATCATAATAAGAACTTTCATAAAATATGTTTGTTACACAATCATTTTTAAAGAATATACATTTTTAAGTTATTCAAAATGTTTTAAAGATAATTTTTCAAAATGAACAACAAAAAGAAAAAAAAAAGACTATATGTGCCTCATAATATACATAATTGATCAAATATATATGCAATTTATTTTCCTCAAGAAATAGGTTTGAAAGTTTGTTTCTAACCTAGATGACCTCATCTTATATTCATTGATTTGTTTTGAGTCTAATTAAGTTCGAACTTAATTGCACCTATCAAACCGATGTTGGAACATAATTCTCGTCATTCTCCAATGTTGTTGACCATACGAACTCCTCTTCTCCTTCATATGTCGTTGATCATGTTAACTCCTCTGTCATATAGGGGTGTCAAAACGGGTTTGAGTGTCTGGTTCGGGCCGAACTTGGATTGACTCGATTTTCAAACGGGTTAACCCTAACTCGACCAATTTTTGCGAACTGGTCAGGAAATCCAACCCAAACTCGACATGTGCGGGTTACTAATTTGACCAGACCGGATCCGATCGGATAAACCAATGCATTTAA